CGCAAGGTAGATTATTGAGTACACTGGTAAATTTGTATTATCCAATACACCTACACCAAGGCAGATTATTCAGTACACTAATACATTTATATTATCCAGTACACCTACACCAAGGCAGATTATTCAGTACACTAATACATTTATATTATCCAGTACACCTACAGTAAGGTAGATTATTCAGTACATTGGTACAATTATATTATCCAGTATACATATCGCAAGGTAGATTATTGAGTACACTGGTAGATTTGTATTATCCAATACACCTACACCAAGGCAAATTATTCAGTACATTTGTACATTTATATTATTCCTTAGATAGTTGCGTTTACTATTAATCTAACTGTATGTTAGATATTTAATTTTATAGTTAATTACAGTATTCAATAGAGAAGATTAATTTAAAAGTTTTCACTTCATGGTGCGATAGAAATGTTACAAAAGAGTTATATTTGAACAATAAGAAAACAAACGATCGTAGCAGTTGCTTCATTAGATTACTGTAATTAGAATATAAACAACATAGTGAAGTCTTCACAGAATTTATTCTGTTACGTGACTATAGCTCGTGTATAAATTGCGCGTGCGTGTATGGCTCATTATTTACCAAATACATTTAAGAGTAAACAAGATAGACCACATAGTTGATAAAAACCTAAAAGTCTATCTTCGAAACACACTACATGGCACATTTCCCTAGAAGACTGTCATTGAAACAAACTACATGGTACATTTCCCTAGAAGACTGTCATTGAAACACACTACATGGCACATTCTCCTTAAAAGACTATCTTCGAAACATACTACATGGTACATTTCCCTAGAAGACTGTCATTGAAACACACTACATGGCACATTCTCCTTAAAAGACTATCTTCGAAACATACTACATGGTACATTTCCCTAGAAGACTGTCATTGAAACACACTACATGGTACATTTCCATAAAAGACTGTCATTAAAACACACTACATGGTACATTTACATAGAATACTGTCATTGAAACACACTACATGGTACATTTCCATAGAATACTGTCATTGAAACACACTACATGGTACATTTCCATAGAATACTGTCATTGAAACACACTACATGGCACATTCTTCCTAAAAGACTATCTTCGAAACACACTACATGGGACATTTCCCTAGAAGACTGTCATTGAAACACACTACATGCACATTCTCCCTAAAAGACCATATTCGAAACACACTACATGGTACATTTCCCTAGAAGACTGTCATTGAAACACACTACATGGTACATTTTAATGTACCATGTAGTGTGTTTCAATGACAGTCTTCTAGGGATGAAGTGAAGACACTTAAGTGAACATACCGTTTATCAGCTAGTCTAAACATTGTTTTCTAAATTAAAAAAACAACAAAAAATATGTACCATGTAGTGTGTTTCAATGACAGTCTTCTATGGAAATGTACCATGTAGTGTGTTTCAATGACAGTCTTCTAGGGAAATGTACCATTTAGTGTGTTTCAATGACAGTATTCTATGGAAATGTACCATGTAGTGTGTTTCAATGACAGTATTCTATGGAAATGTACCATGTAGTGCAATATGCTTAGAATACCTAATTGGTTCAATATCTAGTCGATTCTAACTACATGTCTATTTATAATGTATTCGCCACACTAAAAAAATGTTAGTTTTTTAAATATTTAATGCTTTCGAGTTTTGTTTAAAATATACAAAAATTGAAGATGTTTTCAAAACAATGTGGGGGTCTTCATTACACTGTACAGTTCCACACTTCATTACACTGTACAGTCCCACACTTCATTACACTGTACAGTCCCACACTTCATTACTAGATTGTTAGGCTATTCTTTACCTTCTAGATATTTGCAAATTCTTATATTATTCCTAGCGTGCATGGTTTTTCGCAACCTGACATACTCAACAAGTTTCTTTAGAAGACGGTATATTGAAATATAACGGTAGATTCTTCATAGTTTAGAAGACCTTTCAATACAGGTATAATTCTTCGTATACTGGTTCTGGTTTATTAATTTTTTATTACTCTTTCAATATTTTATTATTATTTAGTCATTTTTACTGTAAATGAATTCTAATGAAAATATTCTCTATAACATCATTAGAAACACTTCACTCCAATGTTTCCACGAATGTATATTATTAAAATAAATCCTCTCCTTTCTAAAGTATACATCTTCATTAATAGATTTCTGATACTCTTTAAATCACACTTACCGATTATCGCCAGAGTAAGTATGCAATCTTGAATCTCCGATTCACCCATACAAAGCATGCATGTGATATAGGTCGTAGGACACGAAAATCATTTCAAATTATTTCTTAGTGCCATTGCTTTAAAATCCTGACAACAAATATTCCAATATGATATTTAGTACGATACTTACTCAGATCTTTAGTGCAGTCTATCAGTGCCACAATAGTGTGGTAAAACTTTTAATTCAGTCCAAATAAGATTTGTGTATTAAAACAATGAGAGATCGATCACCTAGTGATTGATATCTCTATAAAGTTCCTTGAAGTTTCAGCTATCTCGATAAAGAAGAGAGTCTCAAATGAGCAGCAACTCTGACAAGCCTATCGTTGTTTGCATTGTTTTTCAGGTAACTAGACCATCAGGACATTAATAACCACACACAAACGCACTCAAGTGTAACTTATAATTATTTTTGATTCTGGATATTGAAGTTAGAAGCTCGACCTCTGTCGACAACCTAGTTAATTAAGCGAAGTTCATAGCTCGCTACTTTCCGTCCAACTTGAATAAAGGATGATATTCTATAATAACTGTTACTAACAGAGGTCTGATCTTCACGAACCTTACCACTTAGCAGGGCATTCTCTTCATATAATGCTTCTAACAGGTGGAATACGCATATAGGGCAAGTTTACTCGGGTTTCCAGTGGAATTCACGGCATGCACTAGAAACGAGACCGTTACCATTAAGCTATTCTTGAGAAGTTTCGAATCAGTGGCTCAGTATTCACAGAAAACTTGAAGTAATGTATGAATATTGTGACTATAACCGAAGAATTTGCTATTCAGTTGATCTTCATTGTCCTCAGACCGAGGCTACACACACAATCAAAGGAACCCAGGTGTTCTATGGGTCTTGTTTCCTTCCATGGGGCACTAAAGTGAGCAGTTTTATTCTTCATGCATACACGTGTAAAAATGTGGAAATACGTCTCTAATTAATACTGGTTTCGCCATCTCATCCTGTATGAAATGTATGGTTTTTGTTCTCTAAACTATATTTAAAAGATTTTCAACAAGAATGTGTTCTAATTACCGAGAACAGAAAAGTATAACTGATAAGAACTAACCATAATTTTCTC